AACAATAAAGAATGAACAAACAAATCAGCTAACAGAACATAAACCAGAGGAAAGTGACCCAAATAGAGAAGCTACAAATAAAGAGAACCATAGCTTAATACAAACAAAAAATCTGCAAGATTTTGCCACAACAATGAAAAGATATTTTATCTTTCAGGACTTCAAAACTTAAGGATAAGAAAGAAGATTTAACAAAATCGATTATAGAGTTGCCAGGTGAATCATTAGAATTTGGAAGACAAAAAATGTACATTCTATTTAACTTGTCTTTCCTATTCCCAACAATATTCACAAAAATACAGGAAGAATCTCCTGGCAAGTAGATTATACTGACACGGAAAGCTACATGGCAAAAGAAGAAGGTTAAAGTTAGATTCAAGAGACTCGATTCGACTTACCAGATGGAGTACTATATGATTAAACACTTGTTTGAATATGGTTAAAAGAACAGATAAATTTTGAATATAAAGGAGCCCTACAGTAAGAGGAATAAAATATATAAGTAGTATAGTATTTTTTATAATATATGAGATGTAAAAATACTGGGATGGGATATGTGAATGAAAAGTTTGGATATTTAAAGGTAATTAATTTTGAGAAAATTATGACTGATAATGGTTTGAATACTGAGGGGAAATTAAGCTTAAATAAGAATTTTGAAAATAGGACACATAGTGACTTAATAAGTTGACTTTTACAAATACAATTGAAACAAGCCAATCAGAAAAGATGTTATATGTGGATGTTATTGTTATTTGTACAAACACAAGAAAAATGTTTATATGCAACCTTGTATGTATTGAAAGTATTAAGAATTATATTTGCTTAATGTTGATAAAGAAGAGAAAATCAAAGAAGAGAAGATCAAAGAAATATATCATTAACTAATATATTGATTATGGAATTATAGAAATTATTATTGATTGTTTTTAAATATATGAACTTAGACAACACACTGTTTACTAAGCACTAAAGATTGTTATTGTAAAAAATCAATAGAATATATTAAAAAAAAAATCTAATGACTAACTTCCATTGATGGGGTTGCCCTGACTATGACTAAATGGACTATGTGATAGAATGTATTCTGGATTCCCATGAGAAAGGGTCTGCATTTTGGGGGGCAAAGAGACAACAAAGCTTAGATAGTTTGGTCAGAAGAAGAGAGTTAAGAAGTTTCTTCCCTAGCCATTCTCAGAGTATTATCTATAGTAATTCAAATAATTGCCTTAGTTTGGTAAAATTTTTGTCTATAAGTGAGGAACATAAAAGAAACTGCTCAGAAGTAATTCTGTGTGTCTTCCTTGGTTCATGGGGCCTCACAGGCTATAACTCATTAAGATTAAGCCAAGCTGACTTTTATCTTTTTATAGAGTAGCTCAACCCCTATTGAGAGAGGTCCAGTGCATTTGGCAACGGAAAGTAAATGTATGTGATTGAAAAGCTGACATAGACATACGGTAAGTCTTTCCCAAGGACTATGCTAATATCTATGCTACTTAGGTTCAGTTATGTTACATAAGTTAATTATCAATATTTTGAACTATTGAAAATTATACCTTAGATTAATTATTTATCTAATTAATTACTTTAATGGCTACCTTATGGATTAATTTTTAAGTATTTTCAGGGCAGCTTACAAAATTTAATAATAATAAAGTTGGAAGGGACTCTATAGGTCATCTAGTCCAACCCCCTGCTCAGGCAGGAAACCCTATAAAAGAATAGCAATGAATGTTGTTTTCTTTTTTTGGCTAAAATAAACCAATTGTACTCTTTTAGTCACAGTAGCAATTTTATCCTAAGCTTTGGATGTTCTATGTTAATGTGTTCTATGTTCACATTAAAACACTTGAGTGCTCTGACTTGAGCAAAATATAACTTTTACTGTTTCCTCAAATTACCTATGCCTTTTGTTGGAGAGAAAATTCTGCAGGATGATCAGGAAATAATTTGAGAGCAAGGATTTGTTGTTTGCCATGCTAAAAGTCTGGACCACAGCGAACATATATAATTTATGAACTGTAGATCTTAAGAACCTTAAGAAAATGTACCTTGAGTTAAAAATATAGTTGCCAATCAAACCAACTGCTTTATGAATTGAAATGAGGGTCTTATCTGCTGATTTATTATATTAAATATATATATGTGAGTGCAGGGTTTTTTTTTCTCATAGAACGCCCAGAACAGAGTTCCGACACCTTTTTTGGATAGAACCTTGTAGGGTAGGCAAGGCGGGTTGTATGATGTGTGTGAGTTCCGGCACCTTTTTTTTTTTTTTTAGAAAAAAAGCACTGTGTGAGTGTGTCAGTGTTGACCTCTAGTGACTCTGAATTAGTCCATGGTTTGCTTTGCCTTCTTCCTGGGGTTGAGAATGTGACTTGGCCAAGATCAGCTGGCTTTGTGTCTTAGGTGGGATTAGAACTCATGCTTTCCCAGTTTCTAGCTTGGTGTCTTAACATTCATTCATTCATTCATTCATTCATTTATGAGACTTATATACCGCTTTAAGTGCAAGCACTCTCTAAGCGGTGTACACCAGTAAGCAATATATATATTTTACATTGCCCCCAACAATCTGGGTCCTAATTTTACCTACCTCGGAAGGATGGAAGGCTGAGTCAACCTTGAGCCGGTGAGATTTGAACCGCTGACCTGCTGAACACAGTCAGCTAAAGTGGCCTGCAGTACTGCACTCTAATTGCTGCGCCACTTCGGCACTTCAAACTGTCTCTTTAATTTAAATATTATATTTAATACAGGTTACTTCCTGTTCCAACTGTTCTGCTTGTCCAGTGAGAAATGGTAAATTGTGAGATCTGCCTAAATAAAATTTGTTTATTTAGAGCTAGAGACAGGTCTTCAATTTTTTTTCTATGAACTCCCCCCCCCTTTCTCCCAGTTCATAATAAATAATTAGTCTATGTTTATGTCAGAACTAAACAATACTTGGGGGACAAGAGCACATCTAGGTTTCCAAGAGCATGTTGCAGCACTCTCAAAAAATAGCTGTTTTCAAAAATCTTTTGTAGTCATAAAATAACATCTCTGATATGCAGTAAAAAGTCTGTGGGGACCACAGGCCAGAGTTACCAACAAGGCTATTTATCCCAGATAGTTTTTATCTGCCCAGTCTGAGTGAACAGAGAACACAAGTTGAAAGTTTCCACCTATGTATAAGACCAGTGAGAAGGGTGCAAAAGCTGGTTGTCGCTGCTTTCCTCCTATGAGATTGAATGTAAGCATAAAACTGCAACCAACCATTCTAGTTTCTCAGGATTTTTCATACATTTTCAGCTTTGTCCCTTGTCTCCATTTTATTTTATTTATAAGAACGCCTATTTGTCTAGGGATATTCTTGATAAGAAAGTTAATGCTAAAGAGCGGTACTTCTTTGTTTTGCAGAATGCTAATTTATCTTCTTTTAAAACATGTTTCTATTTTTTTAAATTCAGGAATGGTAGGAAGCCTGATGGATACAAAGGGAGAGCACATGTACCTGGATGCCTATCCATGTTGTATATATCTTAAGTGTAAAAAAATATATGCTCATTTCCTATTTGACTTTAGGCAGGGGCAATGGCATTGCTCATATTGTTTGTTCATTATCACCATACCTTCAATTTGTAGATGACTAATTTATGAAAACATTCCAAACTGTTTTCTGCAAGTTTATTAGAGAATCAGATTGCAGGGGCCATACATGATTATACATTTGAACTGGGTTTGCAAATGTCTGGAAATTAGTGGTGAGCTGCCCAAATATCATATTGCTGAAATATAACCATAAAAGACAGATTTTTGAGAGCCCAATCTTTGTACCTTTTGGTACTGCTAAGTTTTATATCATGTATTTTAGTTGAAACCACAGAAGAGCAAAACATTTCAGTTCTGCCCATTTTGATATATTAATGCATAATTTGTCAAATACCTGTAAGGTTAGATGTCCCTGAAATATTAACAACTAAAAGTGCAACTCCCATGCCATAAAAAAGTCAATCAATTCTTCTCTAAGTCAAAAATGGTTAATTATAATAGTTGGTTCACCCACGTGCTAAATCATAAACCAGAGATTAATTTAACAACATTTAACATGGGGTTACATATGATAAGATTGGGGGGGGGGTTTCATTTTTTTCCCAGTTTGGGGTAATTTTAAACTATCAGTTCTACTATTTTAGACGTTATATTATTTTTTGTGAATTTTAAAATATCACAGGTGATCACAGGGAAAGTGTATTCTAGGGGGCTGCAAAAAGGGAACAGAGGCTATATGCAGCATAGGAACACTTGTTGCCCTCCACTGCTGTTAACTGAGTTACAAACAAAATGGTTCAACTCAGATTTACTATTCAGAAAACTGATGTAATCTCTGGAGGTGATAGTGGCATGAAGGTTGGAAGAAGAGAGAAAAAAAGACTACTTGTACCATGTCAAGTTATCAATCCCTCGTTTCTAGAATCGATGGTAAGAACCTGATAGCAGCGGCTGTGGAAGATTCCTCCCATTATGTGGTCTTTTCAATAGCATGACACTCACCTTAGGCCCTTGAACTGAGAGCTTGACCAGTATTCCCAATTTTTGATCCCTTGCTAGAGAAATTAACAGAAATTTCTTCTTAGGAATTATTTTTTTAACCAATTTTTTGGGAACAAGTAGGTGTTATAGACAAAGAAGGAGACCACAGTTTCTTTATTTAGTATCAATCTGTTTCACAGCTGGAATGATTTTAAGCCCTCTGGGACAAAAAAAGACATTGCCACATTCATTTCTCCTTACATGTTGGGGAACTGGTAGCAGAAATGTTCCTTCCTGGATTAGTTAAAACTTTGTTATCATTCCCATGCCATTCAGAATTAAAGTAGAGTGAAAGGTTCCTTTTTTAGAGAACCACCACAAAATTGAAGTCCATTGGCTTATTAGGATATGTTGCCCCCTAAAGCATCATTTTCCTTTTGCACCTTTCTTCATGCTGACTGAATAAAGACTCTGTACTTCAATTTTCCTTTGCATTCACCTTCATCTTTATTTTATATTTAATTAGAAGAAAAGCAAAGTATATTAAATATCTTCCACTTTAAACCACAGGATTGTAGCAAGGGATTGATAAACATGAAACGTATGGTCATTGGTAAATGTTGCTAGGAGTCTAATGTTTGAAGTTCAAACCCAACTTTCCAGGCATTTCCAGGAAGTTTTTCTCCCTTACTATTATCAAACGACAATAAGGAATTCATTGCTTCTGTCTCTGGAAGTACCAAAGTAGCCGCTGGACAACAAAAGGCCAAGCCAGCAAGAAAAACCAGGTATGAGGAGACAGATGTACAGGCCAACTTGGCAGTTCCTGTGAAGGGGAGGGGTAAATATTGTTAATAGTATTAGAAAACATTTTGACATAAGCAGGGGAGAAATCTTATGCTTTACTGTCTATATTTCTTATTTAAAGTTGCACTCCTCTCAGAATTATGTAGTACCATCTAGATACCTGCTTGTATCAATGTATTTGTAAAATTTCTCATAATAAATCCCCATACCTTTGCATCAGGTACGTTGGAAGGAAGGCAAGGTTTCAACATAGATGTAGGATGCTGAAAGACAGAAAAATCAAGATGGTTGTGATAACTAGAGCACCTCCCCCATTCTATTTTCTAAGTGATTTTGTTGAAAGTGTATTTCAGATATCAGAATAATTGGGGATAGGTTTATACATGGATGGGAGATGATAAATACATTCAAATCCTTGGCAATTGTATGTAATTCTACATCTCTTATCTATATCCATTTATATAAAAATGTGAATTAAGGCAGATGCATTTTCATTGTTTTTGTATTTGTTTTAAATACAAGTGTTTTATGGTTTTTTTATGGGAACACTTGCTTTCCTCTCTTAACACATTTTGCCACTGCCAGCTAGTGTGAAATCAGGCAATTATCAACTTATCCAGATGGTCACTAGAGTTATAAAATAATGATCATCATGACCGAATAGAAATATCAGTACAACCTGGAGGAGGAGGGGGCTAGGTATGACACAAAGAAAGATAAATGCAGTGCCATTATTGGGACCTAAGGTGAGAATTTAAAGCTATATAGACAACAAAACAGAATAATAATACAAAGCAGAATTCAGCAGTTATAGCTAAACCATTGTGGCCCTATATATGTCAGCTTGAAAAAGCTCCCTTGAAAGTGAATTCAGGGACCCTGATGCAGCCAGCTAAAAAGATCTTGCCCATTTTTCTCCAGAGCAATACATACAGCTTTGATGCATATCAGATTCTTTTCTAAAGATCTTAATACACAAGCAGTGTACTGATGAAGTTAAGAGTTCCAGCATGTGAAAAAATGTGCCACAATACTAGAAGAAAATTAGGATCTTCTGTTTGCATTTTGATTCTAATGTAGTTTAGGATTTTATCCTAGTAAACTAATACAATGTGGGCAGCCCTTCCCCCTTCAGCACAATAGCAGCCTATTGCTCTTTTAAGGCTGAATTAGTTTATAAAGAATTTGTTACGGATTACTGCATGCTTACAGTTCTAAAATTGTAATTCTAAAATTTTCCCTGCCATTCTCCCCACACTTCCTTTTGTGATTCACTTCCCTCCCTCTCTTCACCCTGTCTCCTTATTTCCATCAAACAGGTCAGGACACATTGATCTTGTAGAACTGCACTTTTCAAAATCTCTATGCAAGAACTCCAAAACTTTTGATTTGCAACTTGTCCCCAACATATTCATTTTTTTTACTGAAAATTTTTAATCCAACATATTCATTTTTATATGTTGCTTTTAAAGCTTTCTGAGCTCAGCAGTGATTTGTACTTTATAAACCAACATGATTGTCAGCTGTTAGAAGAAGCAATATACCTGCAAAGCTGCCCATGATTCCAAATAGTTGAGTCTTTCCATCGCTTTTTTCATATCCTGCTGCAAAGCTTGAATGGTGCTCATCACCTGCAGGGTCATGTCCTTCTGGGTCAAGACACTTATCTGACTTTCTCCGATGGTTTCCGGGCTTTGGTTGATCTCAGGTGGGGCCTTCTGCTGGTGTATAAGATGAGATGGAGCCAAAAGGTCCGTTGAAGCTGTAGCAAAAAACAAACAAACAAAAAACAACAACAGAGAGATGAGATCCTGATATTTTAAATGAAGTGAGTCCCACAATTTAAATCTGTCTGGATAGCATGTCCTTATGTGTCAGATTTAAATGGGAAGGCAGAGAATACGATTTAAGGGACTTTCATAGTTTTATTTTAATGCAGCATTTCTCTCTTATTTGAGCCTCTTCCCACTTGCAATATTGTGTGAATAGCCTAAATATAAGAGATTCCAATGCATCAAAATGAATGATATGTTCATGCATTCCACTGAAAAAAGCAGAGCCAAACCTTGTTCCCAGTCCCTAATGTTTGAAGCTAATCAAACGGGGCAATCAAAAAAAGCAAGGCAGAGTGAGTGACAGGAACTAGAAGGAAGAACAGTGACCAACTGAATCTACACTGTTATGTTACTAATTAATCTTCAAGGCCAAGACTTGAGCTGATCAGGAGAATCCTCCAGCATAATCAAGTAAGAAAGGATATCTCTGCATTATCAGTTGAAACATATGCTGTACAAGGCCAGCCCAATTACTTTGAAGGACACTTATAGTCAAGGTTTGCACATTCTGCTCCAGAAAACCATTATCTCCAGTTTCTTGAACAATACCAAATTTCCTCCAGGTGGTAATGATTAGTAGTGGGTATCTGACTGCTACACACTTCTGGTGTTGAATTTACAAATGGCCTAGAACAGTTTCTGGAAGCTAGTATACAACATGCATGTTTTGAATAGTAATTTCTCTACTACGCTTTTCCCTAACTGGATATTATCTAGGTGCTTTGAATGCTCTGCTGGCTGAAAATTGTGGAAGGTATTGTCCTAACATATCTATTGGAAGATATTATTGCTAAAAGAATCAGAAGAGTGCAAAAGGATGTAGGGTAGGAGCATAGGGTAAGATTATTAATTCCTGATGAGTAAAACTTGTAATTTAGCTTTGGAATGGAATTACTTTTGCATATTTCCCACTCTTTTTTTAAACAAAAGATCTTAGATTGGGAAGACATATTTTCACTACATTTTTAAAATAAAATGCTCCTTGGATGTAATAAACCATCAAATCAGGAGGGAAACTTGTGTATATCTTTGTAAGAGGAGTGATACTGAATGGAAAAGGACTTTCACATAATGGTTATTCAACCTGCCAAGTTCAGCTCTCATCATGTTTTAATACAGCTTCTGAGATTCAGTTCTAGTTCCAAATGATCTTAGCCTTGGCATAATTTCCCTCTTAACTCTATTCCACTGTTTAATCTGTAAATGGAAATGGATAATAGATTTTGCTCATACTCCTTATTGGTAAAATAACTGGGCAGAATTCTGCAACATCTCTCATTTGTATCTTATTCTTTCTGAAAACTGACTTTTATGTCTGCCTAACTCAGTATCAAACCCTTCCCATTTACTTTTCTCATCTTTTCTCTCAAGGATTATTTCTGCTGTAGAATTACAACAGAATATGTATTGTGGACGTCCTTCTAGTAAGGTTGCATTCAATTGAGGGGGGAGCTAAAAACATATGTTCTCTGCCAAACTTAAGACATTTTATCTTTGCCTTCATTACTTCAGAATGAAAGCAAATTAATTCTTTTTCAGACCTGAAATGTAAAATTTAGTTGCCAAATGCATGAGTCACATAGGCATGTCCTAGACCTGTTTCTGTACTTTCTTTCTGAAGCAAAAGATTAGATGTCCCTTCTATTTATCTTCCTTCTCCAGCTAAGGATACTTTAAAAACTTACATCCTGTTTTCTCTGTAGCTTGACTCCTGGGAGAGTTGCTCAAGGGAAAGCTTTGTTTAGCTGATAGTCTTCTGGCCTGTGCAGAAAGAAAAAGTAAAAACTAAATTTTTAGAATCTGTTTTTTAACACTTTAATTATTGCAGTGTTTCCCTTTCCCAATTTAAATTAAAATGAAGTGTAATTGTTAGGAAATTATCTAGTTTTCTGTTGAAAATCTTACAAAATGCCTTAAGGGATTACAAATGTTATTCTGCAGAAAAGGAAGTCACAATATAGTCCAGCGGCTCCCAACCTTTTCTATACTCTGCACCCCTAGAACACTTCTGATATATTCTCGCACCTGTACAAAAGTTCGAAATAACAGCAACAAATTATGCACATACACTATAATTTTGAAAACCCAAGTTTTTGCACCTCCTGGAATATCATCTTGCACCCCCAGGGAGTGCGAGCACCCCTGGTGGGAAACCCCTGATATAGTCTTAGAGCTACTGTATCTGTAATAGGTGGCCTGAGAGGCCAACTGTTCAAGTGGAAGGATTGGCCTTCCTTAGCAATACTGTGGGAAAAATCCCCTGTAATCCAGTTTTTTTTATTGAAAGAATACTAAAAGCCAAACATGAGATGCCTTTTATTTCCCCATTATTATTTCTAATATGTTTTCAAATTTCACTTCACACAGTTTATATATGTGTGAATAAATAAAAATTAAACAACCAGGGGTTTTGACTCAGTCCATTTGCTCAGATCTTGCAAGCCTTAATGTCTAAAAAAAACCTCTTTGTTACTGTTGCAAATTTTATCTTGCCTAAGTTCACGGATCTAGAAAGGAACTTTGCTTTAGTTTAGTTGAACAGCTCAGATTACAAGTCACTCATTATATATCCTTAAAACATGGGTTTTTAGCTAAACATGGTTTAGGAGTCACGGACTGATTAAATGTCTTTTAAAAGAATCTGATCACAGCAAAATTAGTTCTGTGATATAATTGATTAGATATAGCAAAACTGACAATAGGAGAGCAGAAGATAATTTCTTGCAACTTCCCTAAACAATTATCAGGATATTCTTCTCAGGGGACTCTTCCTCATGGTTTTCCTAATTGTGCTAGGACCCTGGTTCAGTGACCATTTTTATGTTTTGTCTTCTTAATCTTTATCTCCTCCACAGCCAACAGCTTAAAGCTGTCTTTAATTGTTCCAGTTTTAAAATATTTTTTCCTCTTTTGCTGACACATTTTTTGCTGTGGATATGGTCCATCAGTGATGTGATTACTGATGCAGTCACGAGTGGGATCTGTACAGTTTTTACTGGCTTCTTTAGATTCATAGAGGTACATCTACTTCCTTCTTGCCCCTGGGCATTACCCTCCAAAGTCATTCTTGCTTGGGCTGCAAGAGAGCCTGGACACATAAGACTCTCATGTAATGCCCATATAATGCCTGGTAGGGGCTCTCTGAAACACTTGTGAATTCTTACAGAGATTCCTGGCAAGTTTTGTGAGAGCTCCAGTTCTGTGCTGCAGAGTGGTTCTGTCACAAGTGAATCATTATAAATTCACTCCTACTGACAAAGGTAATTTGGGGTATTTTTGCCCACTGAATAGGATACAGTACTTTTAGGTCCTACTGGCCATGGCCACTTGATGGCAGTAGTAGTTGAGATGAGATTTGCTTATTATTGATGGCCCTCTCCTGTTTCATCTGTGGCTTCTCTCCACTCCTGTAATTTGGCAGCTAGATTATTTTTGACATGGGTTTAGCACTCTTTCAGAAAAGTGCTATGTTTAGAACCAGACCAACTGACAAGCAGCATGGAGCATTTCTGTACCTGAGCTGTTTATTTATTTATTTATCAAATTTATATAGCTCCCCATCTAGGTGCTTGGTGGGAGGAGAAATAAAACAGAAGAATCCACCAAGTGCCTTTTAAAAAAATTGCTTCATATTTGAACAACCTGAATACCACCACCCACCATCTTTGTTACTGAAGCAGAATAGTGATCAGCAGTAAGGACAACATAATTTACGATGGCATACTTTTCTAGCAACCCGTGTACTGGATGATAGCATTTTAGCATAGGCCATTTGGCTGTGTTTAAAGGCAGAGTTTTTAAGTTAAGCCACCTCCTTCTCTTTTCATTTCCACTCCTTGTATTGTTTCATCACCTGATGAGATTCCACCTGTTCTAGGCTATCACAGAACACCTCATTCTTTGAATCATTGGTCACTTGGCTGTTCTTCATAACTTTGTTGGCAAGGCCAGGTCCTGCGAGAGAAAAAAAAGGCTCAGAATAAAAATAATAAAATAATAAATAATAAAATACAATCAGAAGAAACCGAGAAGATATGTATGCGTGTGAATACATGTGCAAGTGATTATATCTTACAAAATCTGAAAATCCAGATGTGAGATGTTATGGCTTTCCCCATAAATTAGGTCCAATAAGGGAGGCTCAATACCTTATTAAATTTTTAAGTGTTTAGAACTGATATTGTGGACATATTATTTAAGTTGGCTTTGCAAAATGTCAGGTCCATGAGAGTCTGGTAATTGCATTGGGTATACATTTTTTATAAAGAAAAATAAATCTAAATTACAAAGTGACCTAATTTGATTTACAAAAGAGAAGGAAAATAATATACAGTGGTCTGCTTTGATCCCATTGCTTAGCTGGGCATCAATAAGCCAATAGGTTTATGGAAGATTATTGAATCAAATAGAAATGGATTTGGAGAAGTGGAAAAACTTTCAATTATCATTACTAGGAAGCATAGCAACTATTAAGATGAATATCCTACCCAAATTGTTATTTTTATTTCAGACGGTTCCTGTTAAACTAAGCCAGAAATTTTTTGATGACTTAAATGCAACAATAATGAGATTTATATGGCAAGGGAAAAAAGCAAGAATTAAAATTAAATTGCAACAAGAATCAAAAGACAGAGGGGGCTTTGGGCTCCCAGACTAGAGACTTTATTACCAAGCCACTATTTTATTGTGGCTTAAAGAATGGATCACACTGAGAAATAAATGACTTCTTTACTTAGAGCAGTGATTCTCAACCTGTGGGTCGGGACCCCATTTGGGGTCGAACGACCATTTCACGGGGGTCGCCAAACCACGCTGTCCGCCATTTTTTTCCCTTTTCCCTAGCTGTCCTACTCCCTCTTATTGGTGGCCACACCCACTTGGGGGTCACCACAACATGGGGAACTGTATTATGGGGTCACGGCATTAAAAAGGTTGAGAACTACTGACTTAGAGGGACATGATTTGCAACTGGGTTGGCATGCTTTTCTTTGATACGAGAAAAACAAAGTATATAAATACTTCCAAACTCATGCCATAAAGAATGTATTACTTTCAGAGTGGGAGATAGTTAAAAAGAAAATTTATATGAAAATACCTGAGTGGCTTTCCACAATGGAAGCATTTGCATATCCGAATTTAATTAACTATGACAAACTTGTGGCCTATAAATACATTTTAGATAAAGAAGGAAAACTTAAAGATAGGCAAGAACTTCAACAAACTGGCATTGATTTAACATGGTGGTCATACTTGCAAATTCAAACAAGATATGAAAAAGATGTAAAAGTAATGGGATTTTACAAAGAACAGACATCGCTAGATAAAATACTTTTGAAAACAGATGAAAATCTGATTAAGAAACTTTATAAGTTCCTGCTAAACTGGAAGATGGAAGAAGAACAGGTGAAAGAAACAATGATAGTGTGGGCAAAGAATTTTGGTTATTCTATAGACTTTAGAAGATTGGAAAAAACTATGGGACCGAAATATTAAATTTACTAAAGCAGCTGCATATAAGGAAAACTTATATAAAATGTTTTATAGATGGCACATGACACCAGTTAGATTAGAGAAAATGTTTAAAAATGTATCAAATATGTGTTGGAAATGTAAACAACAACCAGGTACTTATTACCATCTCTGGTGGATATGTCCTAATGTTAAAAAATTTTGGTTTAAGATCCATATGTGGCTAGAAGAGATGATTAAAATATAGATAGAATTTAAACCAGAACTCTGTTTGTTAGGAATATTAGGTCTGAATTATGGAAAAGAGAATGAGTATTTAATATTGCATGTGCTGACAGCCGCAAGAATAATATTTGCCCAATTTTGGAAAAATGAAAATTTACCATATGACCAGGCTATAATAACAAAAATACAAGTTCCTCCTTCTTGGAAACGAGCGTTTATATCATTGATTCCGAAGGAGGATCAAGATCTTACAGAGCCTAAGAATTATAGGCCGATATCATTATTAAATGTAGATTACAAGATTTTTACAAAAATTTTGGCAAATAGATTAATGCAGGTTATGAAGGATTTGATTCACAGTGATCAATCAGGATTCATAACAGGGCGATACATGAAATATAATGTTAGACAAATTATTAACTTAATTGAGTATTTGGATAAGAACAATCAGATTCCTGTGGCTTTTATATTTTTGGATGCTGAAAAAGCCTTTGATCAATTAGATTGGCAATTCTTATTCTCACTGGTAGAGAAAATGAATTTTGGGGATAATTTTTTACATGCACTTAAAGCTATATATCAGCAACAATCTGCTCAAATTGTTGTTAATGGGGGATTGACTGAGACTTTTAATATTGAAAAAGGGACAAGACAAGGATGTCCATTATCTCCATTGTTATTTGTTTTAACATTGGAGATTTTGTTGATCCAGATTCGAGAATCAACGGTAATCAAGGGCATAAAGATAAGAAAAAATGAGTATAAATTACGGGCTTTTGCGGATGATTTGGTTTTGATTTTGGAACAACCGATTAGAGCGGTTGATTGTCTATTAGAACTTATAACACAGTATGGAAAAGTTTCTGGTTTTAAAGTCAATAACCATAAGACTAAGATATTATCTAAGAATATGTTAGCCAATGACAAGGAAAGTTTGGTTAAAGCCACAGGTTTTCAGATGGTGAAAAAGGTTAAATATCTGGGAGTATATTTAACTGCCTCAAATGGAAAATTGTATAAAAATAATTATGAATTACTATGGGCAAAAGTGCAAAAGGATTTAAATGACTGGAAAAAACTGCAATTGTCACTATTGGGGAGAATTTCAGCTGTAAAAATGAATGTTCTACCAAAGTTTCTTTTCTTGTTTCAGATGATACCTATTTTAAAAAAAGATGTAAATTTGGAGGAATGGCAGAAGGGTATCAATAAATTTATTTGGGCTGGGAAAAAACCAAGGGTTAAGTTTAAGATTTTGCAAGATGCCCGAGAAAGAGGAGGACTTAAAGCACCTAATTTGAAATTATACTATGATGCAGCCGCCTTAACTTAGATAAGTGATTGGCTTAATTTAACAAATAAGGATATTCTTGTTCTTGAAGGGTGGGATTTAATGTATGGCTGGCATGCATATTTAATTTTTAATAAGAAAGTAGACTCACCTATTTTGAGGAGTGCCTTACTTCGAGTTTGGAGAAAGTATTATTATAGGTTAAACTATAAAATACCTATCTGGGAGATTCCTAGACATGCAATTGAGGGGATTTTTAAGAGGATGAACTTTGATAAAATTTCGTATAAAGAATTATTAATTTGGTCAGGTTCGGATTGGCATTTAAAATCTCTAGATGTATTAAAGCAAGAAAATATTCTACAGTCATGGTTTCAATATTTACAAATAGTGGACAGGTGGACTGTAGATAAGAAAGAAGGAATAACACTAGAAGATGGAAATCTGGTTATTCAGATTAAAGATCAGAGTCAGGCCCATATAAAAAGAATTTACAATGCTTTAATAGAATTAGACTCTGAAACAGAATTGGTTAAAAACTGTATGATTAAATGGGCTCAGAATATCCAGGATCCGATCCCATTGGACTTATGGGAGACAATTTGGATTAGAAATGTTAAATTTACACAAGCTCAAAATTTGAGGGAAAATTTTTATAAAATGTTTTACAGATGGCATTTAGATCCTGAAAAATTATCTTGTATGTATCCAAATTTACAACCCAAATGTTGGAGATGTGGTAATACGGATGCGACATATTTTCATGTTTGGTGGAATTGTAAAAAGGTAAAGGCTTTTTGGATTATGATTTGGTGGAACATTCAAAAGATTTTTAAAAGGAAGATAAAGTTCACCCCTCAATTATTCCTATTGGGTATCTTTGTGGATTTAAATGACAAAGAAACTACTTTAATGTTGAATTTATTAACTGCAGCAAGGTTATTAGTAGGCTCGTATTGGAAGAAGGACTCGTTGCCTACTTTAGAAGAATGGATATTTAAAGTTTCTAACTTTGCAGAAATGGCAAAAATTTCTGCTTATTTGAAGGAATCATACACAAGAAAGATATATTATTGTACGGAGAAGATGGATAGATTATATTCAGAAAAAATATGGGACTATAAAGTTTCATTTATTTTATGAGTAAATTTTATAGTAACTGTTGTAGAGATTTGTTTATATGACTTAATTTAAGGGAGTTAAAGGTTAAGTATGATTTTTTTCTTTTTTTTCTTTTTTCTTTCTTTTTTTATTATTGTTAACTTTCTTATTAATAACCCTGTACTCTGCTCTGGGAAGCGAGGGGGCGAGGGTTGAGGGTGGGTGGGTGGGTGAGTGGGTGGGTAATGATAATATAGTCATGGTAAATGCTTGGGCATTTCCCCTATGCTGCGTTCATGTGTGTGAGAGGGATGAGAGGGGAGGAAGGAGTAGGGAGGAAGTAGGATGGTTAGAGGAGAAGGGGAGGGGAAGAGAGTAGGAGGGGAAGAGAGAAAGAGGAGGGAAGTAGGGAAGGTTTAGAGAGGGTGGACGCAGCCTGGGGGGAATGGGCAAACGGTACCAATGGTTAGGAATTTATTTTAATTGAATTGTATTTTGTATGAATAAATGGAAAATAAAAACTTTTTAATAAAAAATAACAAAAATACTCGAATGTGCAGAAATGGATAGACTGACTTAAGAAATGAAAGAGAAAGAAGACACAATTTACTTTAAAACATGGGGAAAATTTTATTATTGGTTAGAAACACGCTAGAGTGAGAAAAGGTTATGAAATTTAAAGAGATAATTGATAATTTGTATTTATATTCCATGATTATTTGTATGAACTTGTTCTTATTTCTTCTTCTTCTTCTTCCTCTTTGTATATTTGTGATCTTAAATAATATGGTAAACTATAATTAATACGTAGTATATTATTATTTTAAAGTGATTATAATTAATTAATATTAAGCATTATTAAGTAGTGAAATGAATGAGATTTATTGACTAATTTGTTATTTAAGTGATTATATAGAAAGTTGTTTAATAATAGAGTAATTATTTAATATGTATACCCGGACTGGTAGACTTGCTGAAGCGATGTTATTTTGTGGAATTAATCCCACTTTTGTGTTATCCCTTTTCCCTGGTCTAACCTTTTTGTATGTTTCCCGTTGTCTTACCCTTTTTGACCCTACCCCCTTATTACCTTTATAAAACTCAATAAAAATATTTATAAAAAAAAGAAAGAAAAATAAATCTAAATTACAAAGTGATCTAATTTGATTTACAAAAGAGAAGGAAAATAATATACAAAATAATATAAAGCTTTGATCCCATTGCTTAGCTGGGCATCAATAAGCCAAGAGGCTGATTTCTAATTTATAACATCAGTTTTTAGAAAGGAGAATGAGGAAGAAAAAGAAAAGAGCCATCTTCTTCAAACCAGCTATCTCTTGCTCAGAATGGAAATGTTGAGAAGTTTTGGCTTTGCATAAAATGAAATCCTACATTGTTGTAGCTTTTCTGAAGAAAACCTGAAAGTTTAAGTTATTTGAGCAAAGTTACAAAGTTCTATCCAGAGATCTAATGTTCCATCACAGTGACGGCATTGGTTATTTAAAAAGACATCTACTGAAGAAGGAAGGAATTTCACCCTCTCATTAGAAACTGTTCTTAATGACTGAATCCATAAGAAGCAGGAAGCAGGCTACCAGCTCTTCCAATTATACCAATATAATTTCCTCATAGGAGTGAATGCTTGCAGTGAAGGCAAAATCTGCCCTCTGTCTTGACGCAAAGTAGCTTCACTCTGTAACAATGATCCTACAGTATAAATGACTGCATTATTCAATATAAAGTGAAAGGAATGCACATTATCTACTGGGAATTCTTGCAGTATACACAGGGTACATATATTCCGTCACCATGATAGCATTTTATGAGATGCACTTGCCTGCTAGCTTGCAGTCTTCATGTACGGATGGATTTGGATAGATTTCAGCAACTCCATCTAATGAACTGTTTTGCAAAGAGAAAGTCTCTGAGTCTGCAAAAGAATAGAATGTTTTTCAATGTTGATCATTAAAGGTCTGGGGTATATAGTGTTCCCCTATCAATAGCTATAGCTTTGATATTAGGGTTAGGGTTAGTATTAAGTCTAGTTTTGTTATTAGGTTTGTAGAAATGATTCAGTGCTTTGCTGGATCTGTTCTTCAAAGCAAATAAACTCTCCAGCTCTTTGAAAGGTTGGCATGGCTGCTTTTAGGGACCCTGGCAAGGATGGATTTTAAATCTAGGCACACATGCCCAGAAATTTCAAGAGAGCCTCAACACACTTGTGCCAAGCCTTTGATCATATATGATGTCTTGGAAGCTTCAAGGAACCAATCCATCTTGCTAAATGATTTGCATAGTCTTGCTTTATACCATGCTTGTAATTTAATTTAAGCATGAGAGTATTATTTATTGAAATTAATGGCCACAAGGCAAATAATATCCAAACTGAGCATGATTGTTTCCAGGTCTCTGGAATTCCAAGACAAGCCCATGATTTAAAATAGATGATTAGCAGACAGGAGAGTAGTCACAGAGCACAGTAAGCAAAGAACTCTAATTACTGTCCCAATTTGGAACAGTTTGGGCAGAAACAGCATCTTATCTGTAAAGATCTTTTCATGTGTTCTTTAATACTTGGAAAAGAAAGTTCCTAAAAGATGTTTGGAGACTGGCTAAGCATGTAGTACTGATTAAAAGCTTCAAAATATCTCACTTCTCCTCAAGTCTATTATCTGAGTCATATTCTAATTAACTAACATTAACTTAAACGCACATTATTTGATTCCTATTATATTTTTCATTCAGGAGCCGAAATTAGCATACACAGCACTCCCCCCTCCTAATTTTCTTCTTACAATAAACTTGAGAATTAGGTTAGGTTAAGAAAATTCTCAGTATTCCAGCTGAGCTATTCAAAATCTTAAAAGATGATGCAGTAAAAGTGCTACATTCAATTTGCCAGCAAATTTGGAAAACTCAACAGTGGCCACAGGATTGGAAAAGGTCAGTTTACATTCCAATTCCAAAGAAAGGCAATGCCAAAGAATGTTCAAACTATCGCACCATTGCACTCATTTCACATGCTAGTAAAGTTATGCTTAAAATCCTACAAGCTAGACTCCAGCAGTATGTGGATCGAGAACTACCAGAAGTACAGGCAGGATTTCGAAGAGGCAGAGGAACTAGAGATCAAATTGCCAACATACGCTGGATCATGGAGAAAGCTAGGGAGTTCCAGAAAAACATCTACTTCTGCTTCATTGACTATGCAAAAGCCTTTGATTGTGTGGATCACAACAAATTGTGGCAAGTCCTTAAAGAGATGGGAGTACCAGACCATCTCATTTGTCTCTTTAGAAACCTATATGTGGTCAAGAAGCAACAGTGAGAACCGAACACGGAACCACTGATTGGTTCAAAATTGGAAAAGGAGTCCGGCAAGGCTGTATACTGTTGCCCTGCCTATTTAACTTATATGCAGAGCACATCATGAGAAAGGCAGGGCTAGATGAATCAAAAGTTGGAATTAAGATTGCCGGGAGAAATATCAACAACCTAAGATATGCAGATGATACCACTCTGATGGCAGAAAGTGAAGAGGAACTAAAGAGCCTCTTGATGCGGGTGAAGAAGGAGAGTGCAAAAGTTGGCTTGAAACTCAACATTAAGAAAACCAAAATCATGGCATCCGGCCCTCTCAATTCCTGGCAAATAGATGGGGAAGAAATGGAGGTAGTGACAGATTTTATTTTTCTGGGCTCCAAGATCACCTCAGATGGGGACTGCAGCCAAGAAATTAAAAGACGCTTGCTCCTGGGGAGGAAAGCTATGGCAAATCTAGACAGCATACTAAAAAGCAGAGACATCACCCTGCCAACAAAAGTGCGTATAGTCCAGGCCATGGTTTTCCCAGTTGCAATGTATGGCTGTGAAAGTTGGACCATAAGAAAGGCTGAGCGCAAAAGAATTGAGGCCTTTGAACTATGGTGCTGGAGAAGACTCCTGCGAGTCCCTTGGACTGCAAGGCGTTCAAACCGGTCAGTCCTAGAAGAGATCAACCCCGACTGCTCTTTAGAAGGCCAGATCCTGAAGTTGAAACTCAAGTACTTTGGCCACCTAATGAGAAGGAAGGACTCACTGGAGAAGGCCTAATGCTGGGAAAGATTGAGGGCAATAGAAGAAGGGGACGACAGAGAATGAGATGGCTGGATGGAGTCACTGAAGCAGTAGGTGTGAACTTAAATGGACTCCAGAAGATGGTAGAGGACAGGAAGACCTGGAGGAACGTTGTCCATGGGGTCGCGATGGGTCGGACACGACTTCGCAATTAACAACAACAACAAAGAAAATGACAGGGCCAAAATCACCTTGTGGGCTTCTATAGTTGAGTCTAATACGTTATCCAATATACTACACTGGGCACCTTATTTTAGCAGAAAAGCTTTTAGAATACATAGAAAAAACTGATCCAGAAAAGACCATCCACTGAGCTAAATGAAGACTTTCACCTTCCCGGAGTTATTTAATGAAACAAAATGATATAACTATAGCAAGAAATTGTTTCTGCGTCTCTCTCTTCTCAATTGTTTGGCAAAATTACAGTGGTATTTTAATAAACAAATGTATTTCCACCAAATAAAGAAATTAGGCTTAGTAAAAACTGGATCAGTATTCATGAGAGACTTTTGAAATAAGCTATTTGCTGGGTTTGAGGATCTTTATTTTAGTTATTTGATTTATATCCTGCTTTCAAGGAATTCAAGGTTGTAATCATCCAATTTCCTGTGATTTGGGTTGAGTTAGAGAAGGTGAATGGTTCAAAAACAATTGCTGATCTACCAACAATATAACAGAAACAACATAGTAGCTGCCTATATATACAGACCAAAATAAAGGCATAGGAGGGAGGCACTCCTATGAATAGCTCAGATGCCACTCAAAGGCAGAGAATGCATAGTGCCAAGCCATGCAGCCTATTTGACTGGGTAGTTTTCTTGCATAAATTTTGCTAATACAAATGGTATTCAAACTTAGCATGGGAAAAGATCGTTTCTGGGCATCTTCACAATCCTGGCACCCTGGCAAGCTCACCATGTCACAGGTGCTTAGAAGCCAGATAGGCAAATTGCTACTTTATTTTACCCACAATGTCTCCAATGTAATGCCACTTGGGGAAATGTTAAATCTTCACTTTTAATTGTCTGCTGATACACTGCTGTATATAAATTGCAGCCAGACCTAGTGGACAGCAGAGAATCCTTTGTTGAGAACCCCCTGAATTTATCCCAAGACCAGTCTGTAGAGTCACACAGTGAGCCATAAATTACTCATCCTATTTTTGCTTGAACTATACATTAGGTAAGTCACCCTTGGCTATATTCACAGAACTTTTTTTAAATTGAATTAACTAGTTTTCTGGGTTCACACAATGTACTGAATCATAAGACAAACAAGCTTGATTTGTATTATTGTTCAGCTACAAAATACTAACCACAGTAAATCCTAACCAAATGTAGTATATGTTTCAACTGAATATCTGCTAGGTCTTTAACTGACCTGCAAAGTGTGTTATACTGTAAACCCAGCCATTGAGTGGCTTTTGTTCATCACTGCAACAAGAGGTTAAGAGTTGGGAACAGACCAAATTTCCTTTTAAGTCAACTGATCCCAAACTGTTCTGGAGATCTTTTGAGGGCTGCTTCTTGGGCCAAAGTCCCAAACATGTCAAAACAGGTTTGATTGCTCCACTCCAAACTGATGAGGTACTTGAGCAATTTGAAATTAGGTCAAAGTATCTAAGATTAGGGCTTGAAAAGCAACAAGAAAAAAAACCATCTGGTTGAAACTTCCTGTCCTAGAGGACCAATGTTCCATAACCAAACATGTCTCCCAAGATCCTTAAATTCCCAGGACAAAAATACTCTGTGCACTAAATTGCATGGAAGCACCAGTAAAGTTCACACAGGAGAAGTCAAGGAGTCAAGAAGGAGGTTAGGTTAGGAAGCAAAATGAGCTTTAAGTTTAGGTTGTGGATCTTGAAGTGTAAAGGGTATAACTATCTAATCACAGCTGCTGGTGAAAGTATCCCAAATGCCTCCCTCTCGATGCACTTTTGCTATCCACAAGCATACCTGATTTTTTCTTGAAGAAGGATTCAGGGGGTCTGGGCATATCATGAATCACTTCATAGAGGGGTTCAAAGTATAAAAACATATCCTCCGAAGCTTGGTCCATCGGTACAGTGTTGATGACCTGCCAGAAAGTCTAGAAGTGATCTCTGGTGGTACAACACCATTCCCTGGGTCCCCATGAGAGATCTGGAAGCAGTTGCAATGATGGCATTGTTGAAACAAAGAAAGCAAGGTTTGCCCTACTAGGAGGCTCCTGAGATGCCTTCTTGATTTTCATAAAATAGCAGGATCTCTAGTTGCATTCAATAAAGGCATTCTAGCTCATGGATGGATACCTATTTGGAAGGTTTTCTCCCTCCTTGTTCCAGATTTAAATATTTTTAGAATTATTTATACTTTACTAAATTGGCCAGAAGAAGAGTTATCTTTGAAGTAGGGAAACAGAAGCAATAGATTTTTCTAACTAGAATGTCTTGAATGCAAAGTCAGAATGACGTTTGTGCAGGAGCATACTTTTCTGCAATTGTTCCACATCTTTTACTATAAACATGAAGGCCAGAAGCTTGAAGCAGAGTGAAGGACAGAGGGTTGAAAATGATCAAGTAAAATACCTTGACATGAATCTGCCTGCAATACAAATCTCCAGTCTTAGATTCTGCTAATACATTCCAATTAAGCATGTAAATATTATGCAAGGGCTATTATGATACAGTAATTAGCATGTATATAGTTAGTATTTAGCTAAAGCATTACTAAATAAAATATATCATATAAACTTAGTTGTGTGAACTTTAAGTCATTAAGCATAGATTCAAGTTGAGCCCTGAATGAGCAATTTCCTGTCATTTTTTTTCTTGTCTTCTCTCTTTGCATCTTTTAGCATCCCACTGACAGTGACACTCCTCACTACAAGGAGTTCCCATCCAAAGCCCTACTAACCAATAATCCCATCCAATAATCCCATCCAAAGCCCTACTAACCAATATTAATATTTTGCACCATTTACCTTCTGGGCTGCTTTCTTCATTTCCATAATATAAGCAGCCATGGCTTCCTCTTTGGTCATCTTTCCCAACCTTTTCCAGGCATCCCTGCCAAAACCCCAAAATATCTCTTATCTTGGGCAAGTGCTTCATTTAAAACAAAAACAAAAAACTGCCGGAAGTTGAACTAGTTTGAAATTCAGAATCTCTCAATAATGGATCTTTCTTAAGAATTTCTTATATGTGAGCATTAGGGATAATCTCTTAGGGGTGACTGTTTGTGTATGCTATGAATCATATTCTTTTATTTCAATTTCATGAATACTTTAAAATATTTACAGTCCAGTTTGAACATTTCAAACAGAAGACACTGTTTAAAACAAATATAAATTTTTAAAAATGAATTGGCTCAGCAAGTAGTCCTAATTGAGGAAACTCCATTGACAATGATATGATTTAGATCAGGGGTCCTCAACTTGGCAACTTTAAGACTTGTGGACTTCAACTCCCAGAATTCTTCAGCCAGCAAAGCTGACTGAGGAATTCTTGGAGTTGAAGTCCACAAGTCTTAAAGTTGCCAAGGTTGAGGACCCCTGATTTAGATTAATAATGGATCTACACCAAGAATAATTAAACTGGGTTCAACAGTTAAAAACAGCAAATGATAATGATAAAAATAACAGAATTATAGAATTGATAAGAAGAACTCCAAAAATAGCCTTGTAGCTCTTCTGGTGTATAGTCAGTGGTGTTGGGAAGGGAGGCAGTCAAAATAGGCAAGATGGCAGTTGTATCTTGGGAATAAAGTCCCATCTTTTGCATCTGTTTCAATGTCAAAGGGATGGGACTTTGAGATGATTTCATCCCCACCTATTTTGTCCTGTTCTGTAGAGAATGCTGTTCCAAAGGGACAGCTGCAAAGAAAGCCCTGTTTCTTATTGCCCTAATTTTAATTTCTTTACAGAGGGTGAAACAAAATAGGACCCAAGCACTTTGCTGCAATTAACTTATAGGCTGATATAGACAGCATTTCAATTTTTTTCACTCTCCAAATCTATAGGACTTTATAAAAAGTGGCAGTTTTGTATTGGACTAGTATCCAGTGCAATAGAACAATATTAATTGGGTGGCCTTATACCTTTGTATGTGCATTACAGGTAGTCCTCAACTTAAAACAGTTTGCTTAGCACTGAAAAAAGTGACTTATGACCATTTTTCACACTTATGACCGTTGCATCCCCATGGTCATGTGATTTACATTCGGACGCTTGATAACTGATTCACATATATGATGGCTGCAATGTCCCAGGGTCATGTGATCACCCTTTGCCACCTTCTGACAAGCAAAGTCAATGGGGAAACCAGATTCACTTAACAACTACATTACTAATTTAACAACTACAGTGATTCATTTAACAAATACAGCAACATTCACTTAACAAATATAGTAAAATGGGGTAAAATTCACTTAACAAATTTCTCACTTAGCAATATAAATTTGGGGCTCAATTGCGTTTGTATGTTGAGGACTACCTGTAGTTAGCAGGTATTGTACCTGCTCTAGCATTGAAATAGTATCAGATGCTGGAGTCTAACAAAATTTATTAGCTCAAAACAAATCTCAGAAAAGACAATGTTTCATTTGGAACTGAGACAATTTGGCATTGGCTTTCTTACCATTTATATCTGCCAATAGGATCCCAAAATCCTGGCCTTGGGATCTGGCATTGACCCATTGTTGCTTGCTTGTAGTAACCGTAAAAACGTAGCATTTCTTCATATGAAGGGCGATAGGAACCTGAGGAAATAGAGGACACATTCAGGATCCTACATGGAAACAGGTATTTGATGGCATGATTTCATTTTTAAGGTTCCCAACTGTGGTGGAACCACTAACTGAAGGGGAGGGGGCTTATCTAAGGGGAATAAAGAGTCATTGCAGTTTGGAGTCTATTTGGGGGAAGAAACATCTGAGGTCAAGTGCGTTAGGTCTATATCTGCCCATTTCCCAAGAAAAGTTAACAGTCTGGTGAGATTTTTGTAATAGATGAACAGTAAAATATCTATTGGACCTATTTATCAGCTGTTTTGCTTGCTAGTGCCGGACATCAATCTGTCTCCAGCCATAGTGCAGTACTGGAAATAAAACAATGGAATCTAAGTTCACATAATTCTTTAGGGCATTACATAAGGAGGCAATAATTGTCAATATATAAGTACATATATCCAGTGGTTTTCAGCCCAGTCACTTAAGCTAAATCAGAGGTTACCATACAGCTGCTTCTTTTGAATATTAACCAATAGTCATTGTTGTTTATATCCTTCTACCATGCTTCTGCTAAATTGAGTGCTATAAATAAACAATGAAAAAAATTGCAGAATTCTGCATCAAGACATACTGCTCAAAATGGGGAGAATACAGGTTTGACTTGTTTTTCTGAATTTAGAAACCTGGCTTCTTATTCTTTACAGTTGTTCAGAGAAGCCTGATAGGTTTAGCATTTGGTGTCAGCCCTTAGAGGGCTAGGTGAGCTAAGTAACCTGAGAGGATCCCAAAGAGATTCTTACCATTTTTGGGTAAGCCTTGAATGACCTGGACAGCTGCTTCAAACTGTGACTGGCAATTTGCTTCTTCTGTCTTCAACCCCATTGGTACCTAGTCAGATTTTTTTTAAAAAAAAGAGGTTGAAATTTGGAATGTGCAGACTCCAGGGGAAATTGGTTAAGCCTGGATCACCGGAGGACAGACACGGTCTTAATTCACGCTAGAAGTTGATGTGAAGGAATTAATGATTTTACCTACAAAGATGAACAGATATGTAACATCCAGATGAAACTACTGAAACATGAGTTCTGCCAGTATTCCTGAATAAATATTTGTTTTATAATCATCTTTGCTGACTTATCTCTCTGGCCTTGAATTACAAAGCATCTTGATTCAGGTTCCAGAACATGGGTGTAGAGATGAATGAAATGGTAGGAAGAAGGATGAAGAGAACTGGATTTTTCTTCCAACATTTTTCTCCTGTTCAGTGACTTAACAGTTACAGCAGAATCGTGTTAGAGAGGTATGCTTGCACCGAGATCCTGCTTATTATAATTAACTGTTAATTAAAATGAATAATCAGTATTTATATAGAAAAAGGTGTTTATAAAGAATATTTATAAGACAGTTGGAGAAGTTAGTCCATAAAGTCTTAGTTATATAGAACACGTAAAACAGATAAACTTCCAAATTAATTTCCAAATTCTTAGCTGAGCTGCAATTTAATCTCTTGTTCCTAACGATAGTTCCAGATAGTGGGTTCCTAAAATTACCAGTCAAAAACATGTGCAGCTATTCTATCTTTCCCTCCTTATCATATTTTCTGCAATTACAAAAAAAGTTTAAAAAGCACGAAGTAAACTCTGGAGGGTTTAAATTAAATTCTGTGACCAATGTGGAGTGATGGTTGCAGAAAAATCACATCAAAACACTGAGGGGAAATTAAGCTTAAATAATAATAGGAGAGAGCCAGACTCATCTCAATTCAGAGCTTATTTTCCCAGGCAACCTTAAGAGCAACTCTTATCTAATCAGTTTCAAGACTTTATATTGCAATCCACAAATAAAGCTTTTGGGAAACATGCCCAGGCAGGCAGGCATGTAAAACTAGTATCATACCATCATCATAATAACTTTCAATTGAAATTTAAAAGCAAAAACAATTAGGTCTTGACAGCCAGGTAGCTTTGCTTTACAGGTAGTCCTTGATCTATGACCAAAATGGGGCCCAAAATTTCTGTTGCTAAGTGAGACAATTGTTAAGTGAATTTTGCCTCATTTTACTACCTTCTTGGTACAGTTGTTAAGTGAATCACTGCAGTTAAATTAGTAACACGGTTGTTAAGTGAATCTGGTTTCTCATTGACTTTGCTTATCAGAAAGTTGAAAAAGTGACCACATGACCCTGGGACATTGCAACTCTCATAAATATGAATCAGTTGCCGAGTGTCTGAATTTTGAACACATGACCATGGGGACATTGCAATGGTTGTAAGAATGAAAAACTATCATAAGTCACTTTTTCAGCATCATTGTAACTTCGAACAGTCATTAAACGAACTGTTCTAAGTTGAGAATTACATGTAATACCCAGAATTTGGATGCAAAACAGACAAACAAATCTAAGACTATATCTTGAAAATAAATGGGTTGGATGGTGATAGCCATTTTTTCCTACCTTTTATTTATTCTATTAGTCCAGTGGTTCTCAACCTTTTTAATGCCGCGACCCCCAACCGGTCGTAAGTCGAGGACTACTCAACTGGTCGTAAGTCGAGGACTACCCAATCGGTTGTAAGTCAAGGACTTTCCCTGCCCGGGAGCGCTGCGCAAGCGTGGTGCCGCCCCCTGCGCCGGCCGAGGCGTAGCTGGAAAGCAGCAGAGACGGAGCAGGCCGATCACTGGCTGGGCCACCAGCTGGCCCAGCCCAAGGGAGGTAAGGCACCCGCCGGGCCCCACGCACGCCAGCAACCCTCCCTGCGCCTGCCGGCCTCCCATCCCTGGCCCTCTTTTACTTACATTTTTAGTAGTTGCTCAGCAGGGAGGCATGGAAACTTCCAGACAGCTCGCCTTCGCTGCAGACAACTTGCAGCACCGTTTGCAGAATGGGACTTTTGGCGGGCTCAGCAGGGCAGAGACAGCCTGGACAATTCCTATTGGCTTTTGAAAGCCAATAGAATTAGACTCTATTCAAGAGAGTCTATTCTATTGGCTTTCACAAGCCAATAGAATAAAAGGGAGTAGCACACTAAGGAAAAGGTGGAAAAATGGCGGACTGCATTGTTTGGCGACCCCCGTGAAATGGTCGTTCGACCCCAAATGGGGTCCCGACCCACAGGTTGAGAACCGCTGTATTAGTCCAAGTAGAGCTGCTCCTGAGCAAATGCAACACTGAAGGAATGAAACTTTTGCATTCTCCTATTGGTCAAAGCACTGGTTGGCCCATGTTGTTTCTAAGTTTCTTGCTCTAAGTTTCCAAAGACTGAAAGAATGAAGATGACCATAGCCAAATTCATAATATTTTAGAATATTTAATTTTCTCAAATTTGGTAACCTTACGATGTTATTTGGACTCCCAGAATTCCCCAGCCAGTTGAAGTCTACATTTCCTATCATTGCTAAAGTTGAAAAACATTGCTTTAGAGGAATTGTGTGTAAATTGCCCTCTGTGAGCTTCTATCTCTGCAAGAATCGTCTTATCCCATCACATACAATGCAATGTGACAAACATGTTAAGCATTGACATGGGAAATCTAGGGTAGAGTATAGGGCGGAGGCTTTGTTCTGAAGCCAGGATTCAAAAAGTCAAGAACTTCCCAAATCAGATCAAAACCCTTTCAAGTCCCAGATTGTGTCCCAACCAAATACCAATTGAGAAGCAAACACAAGGGGCAGGTGTGTGACAGCTTGTTTCAGTTCACATCCCCCAGCCACTGGCAATGGATCTTTTACTGAATGTGATATTTAATAACATTACTAAATAGCTATTGAGCATTGTCTGCCATAAATTTGTTTGCAGGTAATCCTGATGTTTACATTAGGAGTATCTACTCCATTGATGGCAAGAGACAGGTGAGCATTTCCTCAACCAGATCATTCAGACACTGCAGTGGAATATTACATTCAGTCATACTCTATGCCAAGCACTGCAGTCACCTCACATGATTTCTGTTTTCAGAGCTAAAATGATGCCCCTTATTTGCCTTATCGATGCAACCCATGTTCCAATGCTTCAGGTATTAAACTCTGACATCCTCTTCTGTCTTTCTTTTGTAAAACCTTCTCAACCTCCTTGTACAGTTCTGACTGAAATGTGCTTTACCTTTCTAACTCAGATGAACATCTGTAGCAACCATAAGTGTTGTCTCCCAGATTCCAAAACAAGGATCTGATTTCCTATTTCCATTCCTCCCAAATGCCATTTTATTCAGCAACGTTTACTATTCTGCCAGCCTGTACACGGTTCCAAAAGACTCCTGTGATAATTTCAGATGATGTCTCTGCATTTTAAAACCTAAGCACTTCTATGTCAATCCTGATCACAAATGTCCACCACTCTCTGCTGATCCTTTTTTCCCCTGTGCATCGGCAGACCTGTAACCCCTTTCTGTAATTGCATTTCATGATTTATTTATTTCTGGGTCAACGTGGAAGCCCGGGTCTTTACTTCCGTCTTTCTCGGCCTACCGCAAAGATCTCTGCCGAATGGACATCGGTTTACCACAAGGACTATACCTCCGGCATCTAATCTCCATCTGGTGAACCTAAATCCGCTTATCAGCTATGATCCCCTTTTTCCCTTTCAACAATTATTACGTGGATATCCCTTCACCAGCCCTACCTCGTACTCGGTTGCATAAAGTGCTGTGCTCACTTCCCTCTGTGCCTGCACATCGCGTTTGTCAACTTCTTGTTCATTGCAACAGCAGCTGTTTCAATTTTGACCTTCTGAGTCCCGCCCATAATCATCCGTATCACGGTGAAGCGGGATTCAGCAAATCATTGCCGAGAAAGTTACGCCTCTCACCTCAGCCAATCAACAGAAGCAGATCCCCCGTCTTGATACTACAGACGTCTCTATTATCTTGTGCTTCGCCGCATGTTTTGTTTTGCAACTCCGTAAAAAGGGCCTGCCAGCGTCTCCTCCTGGGAAAGATCTTCTTTTTCTCCATTTAATGAGTCTGTTCTTGGGTTTATTCGAAATCCACACATGCAAATGTGGTTTCCTGAATGTTTCTTGTAAAATATAGAATTGCCAACCTCGTGAATTACTTGTAAATAAAGGCGTAAAACATATAAGAAGAGCTTGAATGTCATAGCAAGAGAAAATCCATGGAATCACTATTCATCTTATTTATTCATTTGAATGAAAAGTATTGGTTTCTTTTGTTTAGCAAAAGCAAGGGGGAAGTGTTACCAAATTGAATATTTTGAGCCTTGTAAATTTATGCTGAATGCCAAGCAAACATGTTTGTATATTATGTCAAATAAAATAGAAGCAATTGAACTTTGGGCCCACCTTATCTTGTCTGCAAAATGTCAGAGGGCTACTAAATGGCAGAGAAGGGCTAGTGTTCTGTATGCTTTTTCCACTACTGTATTTTGCAAACTTGCAATGGCAGCTGTATTAAAAAAATTAACTGCATGGTATCTTTATTAGTAACTGGGCAAGTGTATCAATGAGGATATTTAAAAGGAGGTACAAAGTCAAGAGAGAGAGTGAACTGTTGCCCAGGAACTGCACTGTATTGACTCTGATTTTATTACCTTTGAAAGATATGAACTGAAGATACAACATAGTGAAGAAATAATGGGATAGAAACTTTTGGGGACTTCTCAGTGGTAGTTTTTTTTTAATGTTTTACGTTTTAATTCTGTAAGCTGCAGAATGTTATTGATCAAGAGTTACCTGATTCACAAGCTGGCTTTAGAAAGAAGTGCAGCACTCAAGATCACATTGTTAAGATTAGATGGATTATGGAAAAGGCTTGTGAATATCAGAAGGATCTTTATATGTGCTTTATCGATTACAGAAAAGCTTTTGACTGTGTAGAAAACAATAAGCTATGGGTGGCTTTGCATGCTCTTGGTGTTCCAACCCATTTGATCAGACTCATCAGAACATTGTACACTGATCAGGAGGCAACAGTGAGAACATTTTATGGTGACACAGATTGGTTCAGAATCAGTAAGGGAGCTAGACAGGGATTATTTTATCATATTTTTTGCTCAATCTGCATGTTGAAGTTACCATGCAGCAATTAGATCTGGAACTGCTTGATATTAATGTGAAGATTAGGGGAAGAACCATAAATAATCTGAGGTATGCGGATGATACAATCTCTTTAAGACAGTACATAACTATGGTTTTTTTGCTATATAAAAACATATTTGTGCAGTCTAAACAATATTTTTCTAAAGACTCATGCAGAGGCAATATTGACAACACTGTAGGGACTATTATCTCATTTCCTTCCCTATTGTGAAACACTGTTTATCCATCCAGTAAATTATTGTCTGTTGCACAGATGTTCTGGCACATGTTATATTATGTTTCTTATTGTGTCATGATCTATACAGTCAAGGAAGACAAAACAAACATATTCTGTTTTGCTCTTTACATTATCTATAAGTATATTATACTAGCTATCTTATTTTGTGTCTCTCAATCTTTTCTTAAATCTGGTATTGCGCATTTGGAATTGCATTTACATATATGTCATATATTGTGTGAAGAAATAATGCAAAGTTTGGTATATTCTTAAATACCCCTATGTTGGTATGGATGTATATAGGGTATTCCAAAAATCAAGTCTTACAGAAAATTTATTATGTGTTACATTAAATGTTCAAATTGGCTGTCCTTCTTCTAAACACTTTTTTTCTCATTTGATTCATATTTGAACATTCTAGAGTTCAATATCATTTTCACTGAAAAAAGCAACAAAACTTTTGATATACCCTACATATATTCATACATTTATAAGGTTCTTTTCTAGTCAAAGTATTCTGTATTTGTTGACATAGAGTAGTGGCTCCCAACCATTTCTACATCCCGCACCCCTAGAACGCTTCTGATATATTCTTGCACCCCTCCAGGGGGTGTGAGCACCCCTGGTTGACATAGAATTCTTAACCAACAGACTGCTTCTTTTTGTGAAGCTTCAAAATGACATTTCATCTATGCTGTTGCTTTCCTATATGACAGCTGATTTACTGCTTTTTATATCTCTTTTTTCTATTGGAACTGGCTCCTAGATATTGTTTTCCTATAAATATTTCTGTCATTCTATAATTCTGCTTGTAAAGGGTTGGGGAAATATTTTTCTTTTTTTAAAAAAACTACAACTTTTATTAAAACCTTTAAAAAAGATTAAAAACTGGTACAAACTAATGTAAAGTAAGAAAGAAAAAAGCAAAAAGAGAAAGCAAAAAGAGCCAGTTTGATCTAGTGGCTAGGTACCAAGTTAGACAGCAGGAAACTGAGTTCAAATGTTACCTTAGCCATGAAAGTCAATGGATGACTTTGGGCCAATCACTCTCTCTCAGTCCAACTCACCTCACAGGGTTGTTGTTGTGAGGAAAAATACCAGAGAAAGAAGTGTTTTTCACCACCTGGAGTTATTTGTAAAAACAAAAGGCAGGAAATAAGTAAATAAACAAAGTTGAGGAAAAGAAAGAAAAGAAAAACAATGGATTGGATTTCTATATTCTTCACAGCAGTTATAAGCACAATTTTTTCACTTTCTTCTAACACTTCCCTTTCTTAGAACTCTTACATTATTACATTTGGATAATTTTGTTTAATTTTCCTGTGATTTTTTTTTGACCTTCCTAAAATATATTTTAACTTCTTGTTATTATTTTCTACTGTTTATTGATATTCTTGATTGAAATATATTTGATCTTGTGATTTTTTACTCCACTGTGAAAGCTTGTGTTCACTGCCTGCATCCTTCTAAATGTCCAAAGTTCTCATTCTTTGTTTTTTCATGACTATTATAATGAATTGTTACAAAAGCCAGATAAATATGGATCACAACTGGGAGATAAATGTCTCTGGCCTCAAGATGGTGCTGTTTCCCTGCATGAACAAAATCCATTTGTAAAATAGTGTGTGCCAAGGTACATGAATGAATATCTTATCTTTGACTGATTTTGTGCTAGACTCAATTGAATTCAACATCTATACTTGAAGTCAACCTTAAAAATGGAATATCTCATGTGTTTGCATTGTATTTGGATGGGAGCTGTAAAAGTTTGCACAAGTAAAAAACTGTGAAACCTCTTCTGATTATATTCATTTAGAATGTGCTGGAAGAAATGGATTTTTATCCCTTTAAAAGATGAAATAATCTCGGTAGGTGTCTCCTCAAGTTACTCAGAGGGATGTGTGCATATCCGTGTGTTGGGTTGAGGGCTATATAGCTCTTTCTGATTTGGATCCTCATTTTCGCCCTCTATGGTGTTTCTAAAGATGACAATTCTCTTTTGCTTGTCTTTTCCTGGGTATCTGCTGATGGTTGGATTCATGCTGCTTAGTATATTTCTGATATAGTGGGAATCCAAATCAGATACTACACGAGTCTTTTCAAATGCGTCACTCAAATAAAAAAAGTTTACTACACGAACTATATTTTCTTTTAGTAAATTATGGTAAACAGTGCCATCTTTTTAAGCCACACCCCCTTTCTTCCAGGCCTGTGCTATGACCTTATTTTCCTTATCAAAGGAAGGGATATTGTTTCATTGAAGAATGAAAGTTTGTTGAAGTGGGAATGGCGTAAGTGTGGGTCTTACTGCAGCTTACATTACTTCTGGAATAATTATCCCCTATTTTATAAATATAATTGCAAAAATTGCCAATTATGTAGCAGGGCGCAAATCAACCAGTCATGGTTTATTTATTGTTTTCTTCCCCGAAGTTGCCCTTCCTGCTCCCCGAAATTCAAGAGGGCTATTTTTTGGGGTGATGTCGGGCGGCACCATCGATTTTCCCGGTCGCTAGGAAAGGCTGTGAGCCTGCATGCGGATCCTCCGGCCAGACAGACGAAGGGCGGGAAAGAGTTAAAACTCTCGCCTCAGCTGTAATTTGAGCATTCCTGGCAAGCTCTGCTTCTGCAATCTGCGCGCAGCAACGGCGAGTCACAAAGGAGGCTGGGCAAGCAGAACTTCTCTAGAGGGTAGGGCTGCCCCGCAAGTGGGGCGACAAGTCGATAAAAGGGCTTCCTCAATCCCAAACTGAAGGATAGGGGAGCCAGTAAGTTCAGCCATGTTTTGCGGAAAATGGAAAAAGTCCCGCTTGGAAAGTTGTCACCACCAGCAGCAGCTTTCTGCCCATCACCATGGAGGAACTATCAAATCCTCGGGACACCGCGCGTTCAAAAAATTGGGTAAGTGAAGTGCCTGGTGAGCTGGGTATCCCCAGAGCTAGGAAAAGGCGTGCCGCGTCTTCCGAGATCTTTCCCAGTTATTTTACTGGATTTAGATGTAGCGCTAATTAAAGTGAGGGCTCAGCCCTGTCATTTTTTTCATTTTTGCCGGAGCTCAATCCTGGATGTTTTGTTAGCCTATAGAAGAGGACCTCTAAGTGGCTACAGAGTGCATTTCCCCATCAGCCAAATAACTCCCGAATCCAAATGGATTAAGGGTTAAAAAATTATGGTGTAAAAGCTGTGAAATATAAAAATATTTTGTTTTTCTCTTGAAATGTTTACAGATATTTTTTAAAACTTAAATCGTCTGTATAATGGAATAACTTATTCCCATGCACATATTTATTTAGCGTATGGTGTAGTAATTTCCAATTTTTTGAGACTCCAGGAAAATATGTGAATCGGAAGGAACTTATAATGAGAACAGCTGGATGACTTGTTCTGTTTTTTGGATTTCAAACTGGAAATTAAAGAAGTGTAATAACTTGATCTTGAGTCAAAAGATAGAAAAACATATTTTAAAAAGCATGAGCAATCTTTTCTTTTTTAGTAGGGTGACATAAGTGAAAAGAGAATAGTTATTTTGCATTATCAACTGAGTAAAATAATTTCTTGATCTCTTCATTTTTTTGTTTAACAATGAAATTATATAAAAGGCAAGGCAAAATTAGTACATTAAAACTGAGGTAAACCCCTTTAAACTATAAGAGAATGAATCTGTTCATATGTATTTAAACATACCTGTGATGTTTATATGATTCTGAACATGCTCTTTTATTTCAATTTTGTATCCTTCCAATATATTCTGAATATGATAAAGGTTTTTTTTCTTTTTCTTTCTTGCACTGATACTTCAAAAAGTATATAATAGACTTTTCCTGGAGAAGAGGTTTTATTTGCAGATTTATCATCTTTATTCAGGAAATCTTGAGATATTTAACTCAAATAGATTAGTCAAGGAAGTACTTAAATTTCCTAAGAAAAGACATAACCCTGCATCAGGTTGTTTTTATTACAGGAATGTGGGGCCATTTAAAACTAATGCTGTCAAAGGTCCACTCTGAAAACTAATTGCTTTCCCAGGAATTTAGCTTTAAAGTATGGAAAATAATAGTAGAGTGTTCTTTTTTATGATGCATTATCTCATCAACCGTGTATATTCTAACTCAGTGGTGGCAAACCTATGGCACGCGAACTGTCGCCCCAGTCCTAGGCCTTCAGCTGGATTTTATAAAACCTTTTCACTTTAGGTTTCCGCCGCGATGTGCAAAAAAAAAAAGATTCAATCAGTCAATTTCAACTTCTCGTGAGAAAAAAAAGATCTTGCAAAGTTGGAATTGATTGATTGAACTTTTTAGTCTCACCCAGTCTGCCATTACCACTACAGCCACGCCCACCCAATGGGCCACACCCACCCAACACTCGACAATGCATAAGTGGGTTTTGGGTTGCAGTTTGGGCACTCAGTCTCTAAAAGGTTTGCCATCACTGTTCTAACTGTAATGCCTATAATTTATTGGACACTAAATTATGTAATATCTGTTAGGAAGTAATCTAAGTAAATAGCAACATAGAAAAAGTTGATTTCAAATTTTTTTTCAGTAATTTGTAGTTGATGTAGGAAATGAAATTTTCAGAAAATATATGTCTATAAAATTAAATATTTTATCAAATACTAAGCTAATAAAGTACAGCTTTATAATTTGCAGTGAAAAGTTTTTTTTATTTCCTAATAGCCTTCCTTAATAAAAGGGTGCATTAACAATAAACATTGTAATTCCAAGTTAAGCATATAACTTATAGGGATAAAGAACTAATTTCTACGGGTAGATATTTCATGCCAGACATTGTGGGAACTGATTAACCTATTCATTTATGAATTACCTATTCATTTAAAAAATGCTCAGGATGATTTGCAATAAGCTTGACATTGCCTTCCAATATTCAAAATTATTTTCTCAGAAATAGTGCTCTTGAGGATAATGGAGGTAATAAAGTGAATATAATAAAGCCACCACTCTGTATTATAAAGATTTTAAAAATATTTATTATGAAATTTCCCTTAGAATTAATATAATGGAGCACAAAACTAAAGAGGAGTGACATTTAATTAAAAGAAAACTTGTTTAAGTAACTTTCTGTGAAGTATGAATGAAATGCATACATTAAACAGTGATGCATTAAACAGCTTTAAATATTGATTTGATGGTTCTTACATTAAAATCTTGCATCTTTTATTATAGCATTCCTCAACCTGATACCATGTAAGTGAATTGGGACACCACTTCCAAAAAATTCCCAGGCAAAAGATACACAGCATATACTGTACCAACGAAATTGCTGTTTTAGCACTTGTAGAAGGCAACAGGTTGGGAAAGAATGGATTAGTGCAGGGGTCCCCAACCCCCAGTCCGTGGACCGGTACTGGGCCATGGCATGCCAGCAGCAGGTCCACACAAACAAGCAAAGCCTCATCAATGGGATGCAGGCAGCATACACAACCACACACTCTCCGGTCCGTGGAAAAATCTTTCTCCATGGAATCAGTCCCTGGTACCCTAAAGGTTGGGGACCTCTAGACTAGTGCAATATGGTCCTATTTCCAATAGGGGAAAAAAACCCCAACAAATACTGTAGAATTCTGCACCAACTGAAGCTTTTGTTTATCAAGTTTATATTTAGCTATTATATACACACAAATGCATGTACATGCACAATATAATATTAATTGGAAATATATCCCATCTTTGTATTTGTCTAACAATCAAGCTGAGTCACAGCAATTAAAATGATAAAACATCAGAATAATATAAAGTTAAATCAAGTTTAGAACCAAATAATTATCTTTTAACAGAAACCTTTTCTACTAAAGATTAAAAGCTTCATGGAAAAGAACATTTTTCACATTTTCCTAAATCATGGAAAGGCCAAATACTTCTCCTCTGGAAAAGTTTTAAGTCATGGGAGGGAGAGGAAAGGCTTTCTCCTGTGTACCAGATATATGAGTTTCTGAAAATGGAACTCTGAAGTACAAAACAACAGTGTTTAAAACATTTCTAAAAATAACAGTATTTAAAATGGTAAAATAAACAGCAGATTGTTAGCTCAACTGATGAAAAATGTAAGTTCTACATTTACTCAAAAATCAAATTAAAATATTGAAAGTATTAGAGTTATAACTTCATCTTTATTATCTACTGTTTAATTGATGCTAACTGCCACACACTTTCCCCGGGAAAGAGATATCGCAAAGCTTAAAAAAATCATTAAACATTTCCTTTCTAGTTGCCATTATATGTATATAAGAGCCAGTTTGGTCTAGTGGTTAAAGTACCAGGCTAGAAACCAGGAAACTGAATCTAGTCCCATCTTATATATGAAAGCTGTGTGACTTCAGGCCAATCACTCTTCTTCAGCCCAACCTACTGTACAGGGGGGTTGTGGGGAAAATAAGTGGAGGAAGGAGTATCTAATAAATAGCAATGATAATCAGAGGAATCCCAGAGTGAACTCTTCAATGGCAAACTTTGTGGACAAGTTTTGTGTTATTCCAGGATGGCTCTTTAAAGTTGTAATAATAATAATAATAGAACCTGCAGATTTCAAAAGTGATTTTTCTCTGTTCTCTTGGCTCTATAATATAGCTATACTGAGATTTGAGATGGGAGCCACTCTCTTGAGTCTTTTGATGTAGACATATTCATGCTAAACAATACATTAAACCAAAAAGAAGATTGGCAATTTGTGATTCTGTAGAAACTCATCCATTGTTATAGCAAGCTGTGGGAACTAGGTCATCATGTAACTCATAATGAGGTTTACTTATTTGATCAAAATGCCTTACATAATTATGGAATTGTGTTTTACTAATCCCTATTTAGCATGCTGAATGAGCTCAGGCAAGTCTTCATGTTACCATCTTTCTGTATTGTGTGGGATAGTTCTGGAGAAAATTGGATTTATGGAATATATACTTAGTGGCATGTATGCAGAAATGTGTTGAATGGAGCCTACAGGAATCCTTTGTTAAATGTTGAGGATGATTGGGAATTTTGTTAAAAAAATTAGCTTGATAAAATTTAATGTGTGACCATAGATGGTGACAAGCTAATGTAAAGAAAAGCAGAGGAGGGATCAGCTGACAGTGACCTAGTTGTGATAAGACAGGCAGTGTAAGAGTAAGTTGTGTAAGCTCAATTCCGCATAAGGAAGGCTGGATAGAAGAGCACTTAAGGAAGACTTGAGAAAGGTTGGTCTTTGCTTTTTTACCTGGTGGAATTTTATGTCTCTCAACAAATTGCTTCCAGATACTGTAGAGCAGGGGTGTCAAACTTGCCGTGTCATGTGACATGTCATGACATATCATTATTTTTTTCCCCCTTGCTGGAGCTGTGGTGGGCACAACTTATGCGTGATGCATCCGGCCCGCGGACTGGCAGTTTGACACTCCTGCTGTAGAGGAACAAAATGCCTCTGTTTTTATGAATTGGCTGCGCATGTCTGCATCCATTCCTCTACTCTAGTGATTCTCAACCTCATCAACTTTAAACTGGGTAGACTTTCAACTCCCAGAATTCCCTAGCCAGCATGTGGAGGTCCATGTGGAAGTCCTGCCACCGAGCTGGCAGGGAAATTGCAGTGTACCCATCTTAAATTTGCTGAGGTTGAGAAACATTGCCCTACTCACTAGGGTGGGACTGAGCAACATTTGAATCAGGCTGTAAATTTCCCACAGAGAAAAACAACATGATTGTGAGCTGGATGGTTACAACACAGAGAACAGATGGAGAGTCCTCTCCAAATTGATGAACAAATGATCATTTATAAAGTGCAAGAAGAAAAATTAGATGCAAGGGGAAGGGGTAGTCATTGTTTATATTTGTAGAGGTTATTTTTGGATTATGGCTTGGTCAACTTATCTGCAGTTCTTATGAACTTGATCTAAGTGATTCATCTTG